TCTCTGAGCAGTTTTTAGTAAGATCCAAATTACTTCTCAAAGTCTGAGTGGTGCAGTTAAAAATTTTATTTGTGCAGGTAATTTTCATAGTTTTTATAGGAAAAAAAAAGGATTTGGAGCCCTGGAGTAGTGTTGACATTCCTGGGGTCCAGCCATGCTAACAACAAGCCTGGTTGTCCTGTCATGGGAACTGGACCCCTGAAGGCAACCTGACCCACTTTTTTCTTTCCCCCTGTGGAACAATTACAACTTGTCTGATGACCAAACCACCTGCATGGTGTGAACATGGTGTTTTAGGCCCGATTTAGACTAGAAACGGTATACCGTTTCGCCACAGAAAACGGTTCGTCTTTAGACACAGAGGCGGAAGCGTTTCGGGCTGCCCGTGGCGCAGGATGTTTCTGACCCACAGTGACATATGATGACCTACACAAGCCGCTTCTACGGTTTGCCTCATTGGCCTTATGATACTTGTGTTTCAGGGCCTTGAACTTCGCCCGAACCTACTTTGGGGTGCGTAAATACCCCTCAGCCGCCAGCCCGTCCACAAGCATCTGTATGCCCTCCCTATTACGCGAGGTCTCCAAGCGGGATTGTATAGTTTGATCGGCCCACAAGCTGATCAAGCAGCGGGTCTCTTCTTGGGTCCAGACCCCCCCCCCTGGCCTTCTGCCATCCCCCCAAACATAAAGGATGACGAAAATTCGAGAAATACATGATATAAAATGGCGAAAATGGACACAATCGAATATGGCGCGAATCTACCAGGAAATGGACGCGTGCGGGCTTATTAGCATGTGACTAGCATATGACACGTGACCTGGTTTACCGTTTAAAGAAACCCTTTGACTTTAGACCTAGCAAAAAGCATTTCGGACCCCCGCTGAAGGGTTCTGAAACGGTCGAAAACCACGATGGAGGTGGTTTTTGGAAGCGGTCCGCGAAAACCCATAACAAACCGTTTTTTCCTCTTTAGACCGGGAACGGTTAACCGTTCCGAAACGTTTCCCTGGCCAAAACCCCTTAAGCGTTTCTAGTCTAAATCGGGCCTTAGAATGAAAGGTTTTGGTTATGAGGTGAACTATACATGTTGATGTGAATGTGTGTGAACACCAGTAACCAAGGGGTTGTGTATATATCATGCATATAAAATTTTCCAAACAGGTTTTTCTATTTTACGAAACATCCTCGTGTGAGAAAGTTTTGAAGTAGACTCTAGAGGGATTAGTTGGAACTTTTGCAAGACAGAGAACAACTGACGATAAACTGGTGTGCACTGGTGTACACAGTCAAAAGTTAGGTGCACAACTCCGATTTGGGCTGCACAAAAGTGCATATATGCAGCACCCAATGTTTCGGGCCCTGTGATGATACTGTAAATTTGTTTGGGTTGGTAGACTCAATTTTATGGCATTTTTTTTCCCTGTGAGGATTTTAGTATTTATACAGTAAAAGAGGTCTTAGTGAAGTCTGAAAAATTAACCTCATATCAATTTGGAATAGTAATTAGTAATACCATAATAAGTGATACCATATTATTAATATAAGTTTGACTTGCACATGGTCTAGACTACAAGCCACGTCATGTTTTTAATAACTGAATTTCCCGCTTAAACCATATCCAAACATGTGAGTCATTGTTTACAATTCACGATGACTGATCGTACACTTAACATTCGGGTTGGGCCGTCATTATTGATACATAACTAAACCTCTTCAAAACTATTAGGAGTCTAATAAATGATAAAAGTTAAAGCCATACTTTCAGACACTAGTTGGTATGAAGAAGAGCTACTAGTACTACATTTGGTTAATGTTAAAAATATGTTACCTAAAATGTTACTCAGCACTGTTAATGACCCATAGTTCACACTAGGAGCAAATATTTGCCTGTACGCTGGTCCAGACAGAGAGCATGTAGGTGTAATGGTGCGAAGTTGGAGGGAAAATTGTCCATACATATGGCACAGGTATAGAATTTGGGACTTTTTTTTGCCTTGGTAGATTTGGGAGGGTTTTTTTTCATACCAATTTGTTACCTTGGTTCTTAGGATTAGCAAAAGGCCACAATGAAAGCATAGGGTTGAGAGGAAACCGTATATATGTATGTATATTGTTGTACATCTGATTCTATTATTGTGCCATAACTGTACGTAAACATGAAAATGGACTTTCCTCCTAGACTCTCTTTTCATATCATTTTTTTTGTTTGATTGAACCTTGGACTAGAACTATTCCAAAGACGTATATGTGGTGATTAGTTATTATGGTTATTATCATGGTTATTACGTATTACTGATAACCGTTAAACCGGCTGTCATTACAAGCATGAGAGGTATGATTCCTAAGCTGACTCATGTATGTGTTTTGTGTCATATTATTAATATTAGTGATGCATACCTAAACCCAATTTTAGGTTCAGGCCGGATTCAAGTCCAGAGGCTTAGGTTCAGTTCCGGACTTGTAAGTCCGGACCTAAACCCATGACATATACAAAATTGCATGTTGGCAACCTTGCCATGTTGTCTGGGTGAAACTTTGGCCATATAACATGGAGGCTGTTACTTGACGATGCCCGATGGCAATGTTTTCTTCATTTTGCAGCAAAGATTTTACAATCTACGGAAGCTTTTACATGATTTGGAAAGAAAAGGGGTATTTGAAATGGTCTTTAATGGTAATAAGTCCAGACTTGGTTCTTGACTTTTAGGATTTTTTGGACTTGAATCTAAACATTCTTACAAGTCCGGATCCAAGTCCAGTGAACCGGTATGCAGCACTATTATGATGTCAAACACGTGCATGACACACAGCATGTGCCTTCAGGCATGATATGTTTGCAACAGCATTTATTTTTACATTGCAAGCTATCAATAACTGCAAAAACAGGAACAGCAACAGCAGTTTCTTTTTTTAACTGTTAATGATTTTCCCTGTGCTACATAACAATGAGGAAGGTACAAGAGTCCATGTGGAGCTTTCTAAAGCACTTCCTGCCAGGTGGTGTAGGATTGTGGTCAGTGTGCTTCCTGTAGATAAAGCGGTGCCCACGTGCCCTTTTCTGTAGAGCGTAATCGGCCATTTTAATTCTACGTAGAGCGTTCTAGCTGCACAGAATTTATCGTAAAACGTAATTGGTTAATCGTGCGTGTAGCATTTTGAAGGTAAGAAATGTTTGAACTTTTATTTCAGTTGAAGCACACTAGTAGGATCGACCTATGGCGATTTGGGTTGGGCTGGTATCTCCAGTGATATGGAATACCCCCATGTTGTATTCTATAAATTTGATATATTTATAAGATTATCATTAACACTTTTACAAGTTTTAACTCAAGTTTTGTCAGCTCGTCATATCTGTACTAAATCACCAGCTTTGACAGAAACGTTCAGACGCTAGGCGATTGCGTTCTGCACAGTGCGTTGAGAATCTTTCGAATGTAGCGTAGAGCGCAGGGAGGCTTCCCGAATACAGCGTAATATGTAACCGTCCCTCGAAATTTAGCGCTGACCTGATTATCGGGACCCCCCCATGCAGGCCCCATAAAGTAATAGCAATTTGATCCAGTTATTCTTGAGAAGGTTATAGCAGGCGTGGAGACATTATACCGAGTGGTGGTCAACAGTCACATATGGTGACCTGTTAATAAGGATCATTTTGCTGTTTGCTGCACCTGTGACAGTGTTGTTTCAATGTTCAAAGGTCTGAGTGAATGCCAGGTAAGGTAGAGTAACAGGTCCATGCAAATGCAGCGTCCGGGTCAGTGTTTTACGCACGTTTTGAGGACTTCTATCTGTACCTTTGCCCAGCGGTTCAAATCTTTCTTTCACTATCAAGAGGTAAAAAGGTACACTGCTAAAAAGAAATACTGCATACTAGATAAATGCCTTAAATACGATCTGTCATAATACCAAGCTTGTGGCTTTATGATATATCTTCACTATATGGTAGTATAGCCCTGTGAAAAGTACTAGAGTACAGTTTATTTTGTTAAGTTTATACGTTGTACCTATAATTACTTTACATTGTTTTTGTTCTGATTATAATATGCCAGTGGAATCTGTGCTGTGAAAAGTGGTCTTTGGTCTCAGGCATTTAGTGATAAGTTTAGCACACAAACAGCTCAGGTTTCAAATTTGACTGTTGTTTAGGTCTAATTGTTTTCGTATATTTTGTAAATCGTGATGATTGAATTTGAAGAATCCAACTTGTTCCAGATTCCCACGCATGCATGCATGTCAACGCGATTGTATTGTTTGCCAGTCAAATATCAAAGTATACCAATGAAATCTTTTTTTTGGAAGAGGGAAACTTTGTGTTTCCGTTTTGCTTGATTTATACATGTATTTAAATTTTGTGTACTTATTTCATAACCACGTTATTCATTTTACCCGTTTAATTTTGCTTTAATTTTGTGGTGTGCCAAGTGGAAATTTTCCCTTGCAATTTTCAAGTCTTGTTTCCATATACAAGTGTATATTGTGTTTCCTCCTGATTTTTTTATCTCTCACTGTGCCTGTCAGTCTTCCCCATCCATGTGCTGTCAACCTACTATGTCTGAGACAAGCGTATAACAACCTACACACAAACCCACCCAGACAGGCTTTTACTTAGCTAGGATTTTTTTGTTGGGCGTCCATTTTTTGCATTGTATGCTATGCTCAGCAAAGATGCACGGTGCACAAGCTTTTTAGGGGGCCTTTTTTGAAAGTCAAAATGCTCTCAAACCCTATTTTTTGCATTTTGCGTTACAAATTTTGAGGAATTTGAGTTTTTCCCTTCAGTAAACTATCATTTTTGTATTTATAGTAAGGCTGAAGGGAGGCATGTGTGTATGGCAGGGGTTGGGAGTGGAAAAAAACAGGGCGTCTTACCAAAAAGTAGGGTGTCCAATTTCTTAGTATTTTCAGTACAGGGCGTCCAAAAGACACCCTGGACACCCCCTAGCTAAAAGCCTTCACCCAGAACAATTTACTTATGTTTTCTTGAATTTTCATTTCAGCCCCCCGTCTTCCTTTTGAGAGAGAGAGCCAGTGAAGAAAGAGGAAAATGGAGGAGAGAAACCAGAGGGTGGTGGAGTATTTTGTGGTGGCGGGGCTCACCGAGACCTCCAAGCCGCTAGAAGAGGAAATCGACAACTCGCACAGAACGATCGCCCCGCAGGACCCGATCGTGGAGCTGGCCGTGATCCACCGCGGACAGGGGGAGACGCCCCCGCAGGGCTTCACGTGTATCGAACACACGCCGTTCGGTTTCCCCGCGGACCTGAACCACGGCAGCCTGCGGAGTTCACCCATACACCTGTGTTACAGAAGAGGACGCGATAAACCACCTCTCACAGATATAGGGTAAGTTTCTACACATACAAATTGTGTTCCAAACTAGTCTCAAACCAAATCCACAACTTTATACAAGATTCTTAAATGACTCTACAAATGTACAGGGACTTTCGTATGGTCTACTACAACTAAGATTAAACAAAAAAAAAGCTAAATACATGTATGTATAAAGTCATCCTACTTACAGAATATATGCATGCAGGTGATGCAGCAAACTACGTACAGAATACATGTGGCAACATTGGATGTTAAGGCCACACCAATTTAATTTGTTGGTTCTCGGATTTTTTCAGAAAAAATATGAAGCGACAGGGCGAAAAAAAATAAAAAATAAAAACAGGTCTAGGCATCCTATTATAGGCTTAAATGCTACAAAATGAGCCATGAAGTCAACACAAAAGCCTGGGTTAAAATTTAAACATTGAATTTTGAACTTTTCATCAAACCACTGCAATGATATATGGGAAAACTGTAACAACTAGGTAGAAAAGGACTTTCCTCAACTGTTGGGGGCAAAACATGAGCATTTTTCAGTTGATTCAGGACCAGAATCAAATTTTTTTTTTTGCAAATCAGAAAAAAACGAAGAGGCGAATCCGAGAACCAACAAATTAAATTGGTGTGGCCTAAGCTATTCTTTATCATGCAGTCTGTAAGATTTAAACATTGTTTAATGTATTTTCCCTATTTGTACACTGTATGGATTATCTCCTTTCAAAATGTATTGGAATTCATTTATGTGATCTGATGTGGTGAAATCAGTTGAACAGTTGGACAGAAATATGAACAGCAATAGGCGCTTATTATAATATAGTGAACAATCCATTATGAAATAGCCTTAGCCTACGATTACATCCATTTGAAAAATTGGGACTGAGAAAAACTTTCGGCTTATAGAGGTGGTCACATGGCCGGCTTACAATATAATATAGAGGTGGTCGCTTGGGCATGTTTTACTGTATATATATATGTATAGTAATCATGTATTATCTGCCTTTTTTCAGAGTTCTATACGAAGGCAAAGAACGCGTCATGGCCGGTTGTGAGATCATACACAGCACGCCGTACGGACGGCCCGCCAACGTCAATAACAAAGCCCCCCTGGGCGGACACAGAACTTACATCACCACTAGGAGAGCCTCGGAAAACGCCGCCCACAATTCCCTAGCGGTCACGGACATCTGCGTAATACTGACCAACAAGGGGGAGACCCCGCCCCACGCTTTCTGTCAGATAGACAAGAACCTTAACAAGGGCATGGTAAGCCTGCTCACGGTTTTGTTGTATTGTTAAAAATATTGGTCAATAGCCAGACAATAGCCTGTAGAAATGCCGGCAACTGTTCACAGTCAAAATGACTTCAATGTGAAAAAGTGACCACGAAAACCGTACACTTAGAAATACTGCAATTTTTCCTTCAAGATTTGCAGTATTTTCTCACCGTTTGATCAAATTCTTCCAACAGGTTGGTTCAGATGTCTTTCTCTGTTACAAGAAGTCCATGGCCAAGATGAACTACATATCTTACAAAGCAGGTAAGGAATCTTTCTTCCCTTCAGAACATGTATTACAGAAGGAAAGATTCCTTTTTTGAAGTGTTACCAACATAAGAAAGAAGTACTGTAAATGACTTGATGTTTGCAGAAAAAAAATTGTGATTTGCAGTATTGTTTTTGATCGGTGTGTTCCTTCTCTGTAGTTATTGTATGTTCTGCCGGGGGGCATCGCTGCTATCTCTGGTTACTAAATGTTTATTTTGATCTTCTGTACAGGCTTGATAGGAAGGTATCCTATGGAAGATTACGAGAGTTTTCCCTTGCCGGAGCAAGTTCCCATCTTCTGCCTTCCTATGGGGGCCACCATCGAGTGTTGGCCCAAGGATGCCAAACACCCCCTCCCTGTATTCTCCACATTCGTGCTCACCAACGTGGATGCCGATAAGGTACTGTATGTTTGATGTGGTGTCAATATAGTGTTCTAGCCAACAACCATCTTCTGTCATCTTAGGGATTTTGCCCACCAGGACGAACAAAAATGTTGCCAAATCCGTCATCTTTGACGGACAAAAATCGGCATGTAAAGATATGAGAAGAGACGTCATTGAACTAAGTTTAGTCTGCCAGTGAAATTTGCGCCTCAAAATGCGAGGGGGGAAATGGCATTTCAGGAAATTAAGGTTATAAAATTTTACCAGGGAGCAAGCTTGAACCACCCTAGGATTGTCAAGCATAATGATAAATAGCAACAGGTATATCTAATACAATCTGATCATCTTTATACAAGGAGATTCACCACAAGTCACTTTATGTTCGAATTGGTAAAAGTTCACGGTCTAAGAAAAATGGACATGTACGTGGAACTATGTGTTCGCGATGGCGGCAGGTGCAGGAAAAAGAAAGTCGGTGAATTATCTATTCATGGTAATAATAAATCGTAGTACAGAAGTGGCTGTGAAAACCGAGAATATAAAAGTACCATGAAAAAAATTGTGATTTACAGTACCTTCCTTTTTGTTCAGGTTTACGGTGCCGCCGTGTCGTTCTACGAGAGCTACCCGCCGGAGAAACTCACGGAGGAGCAGCGCAAGCGGCTGAACTACCAGACGGAGCTGGACAGGCAGACCAAGACCATCCACACCAACAAGTGCATCTCCCTCATGTCCCACTGGCCGTTCTTCGACGCGTTCCGCAAGTTCCTGACGTACCTGTACCGTCTGTCGGTGTCGGGGCCGCACGCCGTGCCGCTGGAGAGACACATCTCACACTTCATGCACGACGTGCCGTTTCCCTCGCCCCAGAGACCAAGAATACTCGTACAGGTGAAAACTACATCAAAACAATATTATCCATTATAGGGTTCTCACCAGGACTTTTTCACAGCATAGGAGCCAGGTACAGAAGGGCAAGTTTTGACGCGCAAGTTGCACATTGAGTCCCAAAAACATGACCACAGCAGGGGGTCTGGTATTCTTCCCGAAAGTTTTTTAAACTTATAACTCCTTGAGACGCTATTTCTCACTTACTGAGGGACAGATTTTGTGAAGTTAAGGTTTTCCCTCTGCTATAGCTCAAGTTATACTTTCATTTTTTGCAAGATTTATGAAGGTTCTCCCCCCAAAAACACCCCTATGCTGGTTGAAACACAGCAAAAGGGTCCAAATCACAGCATAGGGGGTCCAAATCTCAGCATAGGGGGGGTCTATGCTCAAATAGCCTTGTGAAAACTATGCCATTATCATGAAAGTTCACTTGTGTTGGTAGTAATCATAGAACAATGTCAAACTTTATTCCATAACTTAAGGATGACACTTATTTTTCCTGGTACAGATGGGTGCTGTGGACTCCTTATTGTTGATGCAGCCTCACCATTCTCCCCTACCCCTCAGGTAAGGTCCCTACCCCACGATAAGCCTGGCCATATAAGCTTGTTATAAAAGGACAAGCTGTTATTCTGTAGGGGCTGCATGTTGGCACTGGGTACCAGTACCAGTATGATACATTTTGTACATGAAAATCTTTCAGGTGCAGCTCCAAAATGTTGTAGAATGCCAAAATCAATTTCAAAGGAAAGGAAGAAAATGTGAAGAAATGAGTCTAGTATTATAGTCATTTGTTCAACCTTCATGACCATGTAGATTTCGTGATCTTATAATGAAGGCAGCTTTTTTTGCAAAACTTTTTTTTTTAATTTCGCACGCTCACATCAGTTTTGGGGTTCCCAGAGGATGGCATCTATAAAAACAAATCAACATGGCCTTACTAGTAGTTCAGGTACAGGTTTAGGTACAAGTCCTGCATCTAAACCTTTGTACCTGTACCTGATGTACATGATGTAAAGCAGCCCTATTGCTAACTGTGCCCTGTGCTGTTCCTAGTGGTGCCTCCCTGACAGCCCTGCTGACCAACCTGGGCCCAGACAACGCCATGAACCTGCTGCTGTTCGCCCTGCTGGAGAACAAGATCCTGCTGCACTCCCTCCGGCCAGCTGTCCTCACCAGCGTGGCCGAGGCTCTCCAACTGGTCAGTCCCACAAACACCAACATTTAGATTAGGCCTAGGAAAAAAAATGTTTTGTTTCCTGTTTCCTGAAAAAAATTAGGGTTGGTAGGTACGGATTATCTTTTCTTCTTCTTTTTTTGTCAGACTTTGGCGATCTCTAGTGATCTACCTTATGCAATACAGTTTGACGAAGTGAAAATTGCATGAAGACACTATATTTTTAATGTTAATGTTGGTAAACCTATTGTACAACGTTTCATCACTCGGGTGTCAGATCATGGAGCTAGAAATGGTCGATCGGCTTGAAATATTTATGTCCCTTTTTTGGGTCCACCCAAACTGATCAACGGAGCAGACCTAGTTTGTAGTCCCCAGTCCTGCTCTTGATGCAAATTGAAAATTTTGGAACAAAGAATTGAGAAGCAATATCTTTTACTGTTTTGTTTGCTTCAAAGATTTTATGACCACATGAAAACTACACTGTATTTTTGCTGACGTTATTTTGGTGTTTCCAACAGATACTGTTCCCCCTCCACTGGCCATGTCCGTACATCCCCCTCTGTCCTCTGGACCTGGCTGATGTCATAAACGCTCCTGTTCCCTTCATCGTTGGTAAGGAATTCTATATTTACCCCCTTTAGAATGTGAAGTAGGTTGAGAGCTTTAGTTTAGAAGTTTCAAAGAAGCTGGGAGAGAATTTCTAATGTTGAAATTAAATTGCAGGAAAGATTATCATTTACAGGACTGTTCAGTTACCAACATGTTGAATGTCAAGTGTTTGAATAGGTTCTAAAAAGTTTGTGTTTTTCCTTGCCAGGGGTGGACTCGAGATACTTTGACCTGTACGAGCCTCCCCAGGATGTTATCTGTGTGGATCTGGACACAAACTCTATCAGACAGTGAGTTGCCTTTACGTCTTCAGTGCTCGAAATACCTGTCTGCAATCTGCAGATAGATTTCAAAGATTGCAGAAGAAAAATTTATACAATCTGCAATTTTGCAGCAGGAAAAATTGGCACTTGGGATTTGACGCTCTTGGCCCCATGGACATACAACACTTTTAAGTGAACTCCTGTTCTGAAACAACAGGAGTTTCTTCACTAATTTACATCAACTTTGTCTTGACTTGTCTATCTTTTGTTTCCTTTTGGACTTCCAAAATGTCTTCACTAATTTGCATATCAATCAATAGTTCATGCTTATAAACCTGCAAGATTGTAGTATAGAGGCTTGTGTATTTGCAGAAAGTATTTCCAAATTGCAGAACAAAATTTTGACTCTTCTGCAATATTGCAGAGCACTGAAAAAAAGTATTTCGACCACTGGTCTTTCTCAGCTACTTTACTTCAATCTTGTTTTTCAAAGTTTAAGAAAATGTGCAAAGCTTGAAAGGCATCCAACTTTTGACAGAATCTACCCACAAGAATAAGAAGTACCTCTGTTGAAAATAATCTGTGTCTTTTTTTATTTACAGACCTGGAGACAAGAAGCTTATTAACCACAAGATCCTCCCAAAGGTAGGTCCACTGCTTCTTATGTGTACATCAAGAAGTTTATATTTGATATTCGTAATATACTATTCTTCACTGACTGAAAATGTAATCAGGTTTATGTAATATTAAGTGTAACTGCACTGTTTTTGTTACTTTAACTCAAACGAGGCAACGAAGTAAAATCAACGTAATGCATACTTTTATAAGACTAATTTTTGTTAACATTTGCCAGTTTTTTGTGATATCTTTGTTAAGTCATGACATGTTTAGTACATGGCACTGAAAAGGTAGGTTTTGCCCACCACTTTCTGAGAATTATAATAATTTTATGTTTACATGATCATGACTTCTCATGTATATATAGCAGGGTTCTCACCAGGATTTTTTCACAGCGTAGGGGTCAGGTATAGAAGGGCAACTTTCTGCGGCGCGAGTCACGCACCGAGTCCCCAAAACATGGGCCTGATATTCTTCCCCCAAAATTTTGTAACTCATATTAACCACTTAAGACACTATTTATTGTTTATTGGGGTACAGATTTTGTTTTCCCTCTGTTATAGCTTAAGATTAATGAAGCTTCTGCCCCCAAAAAACACCCCTACGCTGGTTGAAACACAGCGTAGGGGGTCAAAATCACAGCGTAGGGGGCCCCTACGCTCAAACAGCCTAGTGAGAACTATGATATAGAGAATGCTCTCGGGACTAGAACTCTGCCAGTTTGGTTAAACGATTATTTGTTCCTTCCACTTAACAGAAACCTGCAAAGCTGCTAAGAAACTCTCTAGTCCACCTGTGCAATCAACTGATAGAAGGTAAAGGGAAAGAATGCATAATAGCAACTGAATTCATTTATTTGCTGCGATACAATAAATCGTGATAAAAAAAGTAGGCAAAACAATTTGTACAAATCCTGCTAGTCATCCATTTAGCAGAGTTTATTTTAGAAACACAGTTCCAAAATGAAGCTGTTAATTCCTATAGAATATGTGCATTTAGTAGAAAGCTATTATGAGAATGATATGATGAATTCATGTGCATCTAATTTGCCTTAGTTACATGCATATGAGCACACATTGATTTTTGTGTCGCTTCTACAAAAAAAAAACTTTTGAAAACTTAAAGTGCCTCATAACAAACAAGCACTATTCAATTTCTTACCTTTGTAAGTTTTGAATTCTTTTTAAATCTTTGATTAACTTAAAGGTTTTATAATTTATTCGCTGAGATACATGTATTTATAATTACAGTGCTAACATATTTATCGCTTTGCATGGCTGAAATCCTTTTTTCTTCAAACCTTTGGGCAACGTAACAAAATCACTTGAAAATCAAATAATCAACTATTCTGGCAAAAAAGAAAAAGATTCAGTTGCACTGTGACATTGCATGATTTTTTGTTGATTATAAAACTTAGCATCGGAATGACATAAAATATACAAGTATATATTTAGTAACTGTGTGCATATGTAGTACTGTGCGTAGAAAAAAAGAACATTGTGTACATGACTCCTTACAGCTCTTTAGTCTTTCCTGTCCCTTTTCCCTCTGTGTATCAATCACATCTTGCTTAGCCACAAAGACACCGTTAAATATTCTTCAAGAGGCAGAGTTCCTATCTGGAATTCTGGATATTATGACAATATTGAGTTGAATTATATTTAATTTTAAGTTGCATGCATTAATATGCAACGAATGTACAAGACGTTTTTTAGGTGATGTTGATTTGATTATATGGATGACATACTGTGGGAATCCCAAAAATGATGCGAGCGTGCGAATAAAAAAAGTTTGGCAAAACAAGTTTCCTTCATTATGAAATCTACGTGGTCATGAAGGTTGAACAATTGACACAGAGTATGGTAGAGTATTTATTTTCATTTCTTCACGTTTAGTCTTTTCCTTTGGAATTGATTTTTGTTACAAACATTTTCAAATATTTTTTTTTGCAATGAAATATGTTCCCATTTTGCAGCTGCATTGTATGATTTGCAATATTGTCGAAAACCTTTTTTAGAAGCAGAAGAAAATTCATACGTGCACAGATGTCATCCATATATCATAATCAAATCAACATGGCCTTACCAGTACATCCATGGTGAATACAATTTGAAATTTTTATAGTGCTGTCTAAACATTACCAGAAGGTACCCCTGCCTCTTGAACACAAACTTTTGATCTGCTTTGTATGTAATCCCAAACATATATTATCCTCTCCCTATGTCTTCATACAGTTGATATTTTCCCAAGTATTTACTTTGGTGGTAAGTTCTTTCCTATAAAATGTCTGATTTTAATTCTGCACTCTTTCGTCAAGGATTTTCATCATTCATTCATGCTTTATTCATCGCTCTTATGTCCATTTTCCCCCAATTTTGTGATAATTTCTTCACTATTTTGTGTGTACTTTTTGTATGAGTATTACATTCATTTTGTGCATTTTGAGTATTGTATTGTTGGTATATTTGTAACATGTATACTACAAGAAGTATGCTATAGTTAATTTCATGTCTGATGTATTGAATGAATGCGAAAGGTGGTAAGGTAAGTAGCTTAGTTATAAAAAAACGTGTGATTAAAGGCATCCAATGCAATTTCTTGGTGGCAAAACTGAATTTTCATTTTCTGGTCATTCTTTTAATGTGCATTTGCAGTAAGTTGAATCAACCCTATCCCATAGCATACTGATATCTGTAATGCAAAAATGCGATGTCGCCAACATAAAACAGTTGCTTGTTTTCCATTGTAGGCTGGTTCTAGCTATTTATAGGTGGTACCCAAAAATAAAGAGATGCCTTGTGTAGCTTTTTACCTCCGGGGGAGGAGACATCCTCCCGCGGAAGGGTTTTGTGAGAGATTTAGAATGTCATGTTCGCAGCTGTTTCTCGCGTTTGGGTGGACGGATTCTTTTGGGACTCGGTGTATGTTTTGCTATTGGGCTGTAGATGATGCACGTTCTTTTGTTTTTATTGTATATGTGTTTCCGGGCGTAAAAATGGTGCCTTTTGGTGGCCCGCGGACACCCCTTTCAACGTGAAAGTGGTCGCGACCGTTGACCTTTGGCGTGTATTAGGTATTGTCAGTCTCGTCCACGAAGGTGACCCCTCGCACAGAGGGGTGTCCGGTCTCGATAAATTCTTTGTTTAAAACCCTAGTCCTGCGGCGCGCAACAATAGTTGTTGTAAACAAAAAGCCCGGAGGTATAAAATCTCAGATTTTACTTGTTCTGGGCTATTTCAGGCACTTTAAGTCTAAAACACTGACTAAAATGTGGTATGAATCAATATCAGACAGATTTCCTCATCTAGAATATTTTTTTGGTTTTGCTGCCCTGAAATTTCAGTTGCCTTTAAAAGAATTCAAACACCTTTTTTGCAATAACACAGTATCTCATTTTGTTAAGTTGGTATCTTGTGAGAAACAGTGATATTAAGCCTTGGCTGTTCCTTAGTTCATCGGCAGACCACACCGGACGAAGTGGCTGTGGACTTGGCTCCGTTAGACGATGGTCTGAAGAAACAGAAGAAGAAGGTGGGTGGTTCCTTATTGTCACATCCTTTCTGTATACAGTCTTCCTTAAAGGAAGTTGGTGTATAGTGCTGCCCCCATGCTGAAAGTTTTGGTACTGCACCAACGTGACATTGGGACTGACTTTCATGGTAATTTCAGTCATTTTGACTGATTAGTCATAATAGAGGGCTTGAAATACTGGATGCATATGCACCTTAGTGCAGGTAAAATTGGTGCTGTGCAGGTATTTCTGTCTACCTGCACCTAACCTGTACCAGTCCATGTACAAATGTCGATGTACATGTATGTGGATTTTTCATTTGCTGCATTCACTGTTACCACCAATGAAGTATAGAAGAAATGGCAATGGTTTCTGAACAGTTTTTAGTATGATCCATACTTCTTAAAATCTGAGTGGTGCAGGTAAAACTTGTCTGGTGCAGGTAATTTTCAATCTTACCCGCACTAGTGCAGGTATGCAGAAAAAGAATTTCGAGCCTTGAAATGCATTGTGGCAGAATTAAACATCGTGTCTACTTTTGTGAAACAAATATGGTGTTTTGTTGTTGCAGTTGTCCATAGAGCTTGCCATCCAGGAAGCGTTCCTGAGGTTCATGGCATGCCTGCTGAAGGGTTACCGACACTTTCTCCTTCCCATCACGGAGAAGCCAACGGAGAGAACAACGGATGCCAGCTCCCTGTTCGACCTGCAAGGTAAAGTCTACTGCATTATGTGCTTGTCAACTGTGTTTGTGTGTTCTAAACTGTGTGTTATCAACTGGATGTGTACATTGTTAGGCCATACCAATTTGATTTCTTGGTTCTTGGAATTTTTTGGAAGGGTCAGGGTGAAAAAATAAACAGACCTAGTCATCATTATGATAGTCCCAAGTGTTATGATAGGAGCCATAAAGTTAACATACCAGGCTGGTTTATAAGTCAAACAAGGAATTTTGAAATTTAAATTGAAGCACTGCAGTGATAGATGGGAAAACTGTAACAACTAGGAAGAAAAGGACTTTCCTTAACTGTTAGGGACAAAATGTGATCATATTGGAGTTGATTTCGAACCAGAATACTATTTTCTTTTTTTTTGCAAATTATGAAGAAATAAAGCAGGTATTTTTGAAAACCAGTTGATAATTAAATTGGTATGACTGGTACAAAATATGGTCCAATCCTTCTGTCGGGAAATGATATTTTCCGTCCTTTTTCTTACTTCTTCTGCAGGTTTTCTGAGAAGCCGCAGCACCAACCAGAAGTTCTTCACCCAGATCATGAAGACCCAGATGTTTATCCGCTTCATCGAGGAGTGTTCCTTTGTGTCGGAGAAGGACACCAGCCTGGCGTTCTTCGATGAGTGCATGGACAAGGTCGATCCCGAAAGGTCGGACAGGCCTGACGAACAGCTTATCGACCTGGAGGAATCCTTTAAGAGGTACTGTAATTCCTTTTTTTTAATGGTACTTTTATCTTCATGGTTTTCGCGGTCATTTCTGAACTGCAAATTTAGCATTTGCATTAAAAAATCATTCGCCGACTTTCTTTGTGCTGCAACAGCCACCATCATGAACATGTAGTTCTGTGAATACCTCCATTTTTCTCAGACCATGAAATTTTGCTACTGTAGACATCAAGTGAATTACACATGTGGAACAGTTTACCTTCAGTTGTTAAAAGTGTTCAACTTGTAACCAAGGTCTTTTTAGTTAAAGTGCTCCAGTTGTAACCAGACTGTTCCAGTCAAAGCTTGTTCAATTTTTAACCATTAAACCATACTCTTTACCTTGGTAAAGTGTTCAAACAGGGAAAAAGTGTTTAAAACAAGGTAAAAGTGTTCAAATGTTCAAAAGAAGGTAAAAGTGTTCAAAAGAAGGTAAAAGTGTTCAAAAGAAGGTAAAAGTGTTCAAAAGAAGGTAAAAGTGTTCAAAAGAAGGTAAAGTGTTCAAAAGAAGGTAAAAGTGTTCAAAAGAAGGTAAAGTGTTCAAAAGAAGGTAAAAGTGTTCAAAAGAAGGTAAAGTGTTCAAAAGAAGGTAAAAGTGTTCAAAACAAGATAAAGTGTTCAAAACAAGGTAAAAGTGTTCAACTTGTAATCAGTCTCTTTTTAGTCAAACCTGTAAAAAGTGTCAAACCTGTAAAAGTGTTCAACTTTTAACCAATTCCTTCTTATTCAAAACTTTTTAAATGTGTTTGATCAAGTGAACTTGTAACTGTTTTCAGTCAAAGTGTTCAGGTTGTAACCAGACTTTGTTTGTTGCGTTAAGTAGCTGTTGTTCTTGGTGTGTTATATCTAACCTAGTGATGCATACCGGTTCACTGGACTTGGATCTGGACTTGTAAGAATGTTTAGGTTCAAGTCCAAAAAAACCTAAAAGTCAAGAACCGAGTCCGGACTTATTACCATAAAAGACCACTACATACCCCTTTTCTTTCCAAACCACCTAAAACCTTCCGTAGATTGTAAAATCTTTGCTGCAAAACGAAGAAAACATTGCCATAGGGCATCGTCAAGTACCGGCCTCCATGTTATGTGGCCAAAGTTTCACCCAGACAACATTGCAAGGTTGCCAACATGCAATTTTGTATATTGCCGTGGGTTTAGGTCCAGAGTTACAAGTCCAGAACTGAACCTAAACCTCTGGACTTGAATCCGGACCTGAACCTAAAATTGGGTTTAGGTATGCATCACTAATCTAACCCAATGTTTAATATCGTCCCCAGCGAGCACACGGTGTTCGTGACTCCGCCCGAGCCGCGGGACCTCCCTGACGACAGGAAGTACAGCTACACGGTGTTCCCCGACCTGGACCACAGCCTGTTCCTCCGCCCCCCCAACCTGGCCAACCAGTTCAAACAAGTCAGCACCGCCAAGCCCAGCAGCCCCATGGCTGTCACCAGACGCACCAAGGCCGAGCTCAGGCAGTCACAGAAGGTTAGGACGCACTGCTAGTTATACCACAGTCACTGGCTCGAAATTCTGGGTGCATATGCACCTTAGAGCAGATAGAATTGGTCCTGTGCAGGTATTTCTGATGTCTGCCTGCACCTAACCTGCACTGGTCCGTGTACTAGATCACGCAGGTGTATGTGACTTTTAGAAGTGATAAATAGTTTCACTATTTACATGTTAGAATTAATGTGTTAACGTCAAAAGTTCTTACAAGCGGTAAGATAAACTGATTTAATGGCCAGTTTAGTTAGATACAACAAAGAATTAGAGCAGTTGAAACATTGTTTATAGTTAACAATAATAACTTGATTGCGCAACAGTTGTACAAGGTACAAAGTATGGCTTTTAACTAGTTAACTAACATTCAGAAATTTTGCCTTTCAGGTTGCTAAGAAGAACTCTGGGTCACCAATGTTGTGGGCAAAGTGAGTACATGTAATTTGTGCTCTGTTACTTCCTAACCAAAGAAAACTGCACCATCACATTGCATTTCTTCATGGTAGTAAGCCATCTCACACTTCCAAGTTTGCATGTACCATACTCTGTGTGTTTAGTCGTTCATTCAACCTTCATGACCACAGAGATTTTATAATTAAGGCAACTTTTTGTGCCAAACTCTTTAATATCGTATTCGCACACTCGCATCAGTTTGGGGTTCCAAGAGGATGTTATCCATAATCAAATCAACATGCAAATTGTGCATGTGAAGACCATGTCAGGCCTCGAAATTAACTTTTTTTACTATTGTCCCAGAAAAGTTGCCCGTTTCAGTAACATCACAACCAATGACATGAAAAATCAAATATTCAAACTCGCACGTAGTGCGAAGTCTGAAAACCAGGATGTGACCGGTGAAAAATGCATTAAACAGGATGACGGCAGTATTGCCTTCACGGAGGACGACAAACTGTCCGCATGGAAATGTCACTACGATAGACTCTTAAATGTTGAGTTCCCTTGGAACCCAGAGGTCCTTGACGAAGCCTTACCTGTGTATGGCCCTCCTCCCAAAATTGACAAGTCTAGGACATCTAAAGCAATAAATGCTATGAAAAGAGGTAAAGCTGCAGGTCCCTCAGGTATAGTGGCTGAAATGTTGCAAGCCGGGGGTGAGTTCATGGCTGACCAGATTGCTTCCCTCACAAATGCCATCATCAAGGAAGAAAGAATACCAAATGACTGGAATCTATCCTACATCATTAACTGTTATAAGGGTAAGGGGGACCCACTAGAGAGAGGAAACTACCGCGGTCTGAAACTTCTCGACCAGGTGCTCAAAGTAGTTGAGAGAGTGCTCGAACCTATGATTAGAGAGCAGGTTCACATTGACTCCATGCAGTTCGGCTTTACGCCGGGGAGAGGCACTACAGATGCAATTTTCATACTACGGCAGCTCCAAGAGAAATTCCTCTCAAAGAGAAAGGACTTGTATTTCATGTTTGTTGATCTGGAAAAAGCCTTCGATCGGGTGCCCAGAGAAGTGCTTTGGTGGGCAATGAGAAAGCTAGTCAGGAATGGCTAGTCAGGGTTGTGCAGTCCATGTACTGTCATGCCAGGTCAAGTGTTCGTATAAATGGAAGTTACAGCTCAGAGTTTGATGTTAGGGTCGGAGTCCACCAAGGCTCAGTGCTTAGTCCTCTACTATTCATCATCGTGATGGAAGCCCTATCAAGAGGGTTTAGAACAGGTTGCCCATGGGAAATGTTGTATGCCGATGACTTAGGGCTTGCAGCAGAAACCCTCATGCTGTTAGCTGAGAGGTTCTGCCCCTGGCAAAACAACCTAAGCTCACATGGTTTGCGGGTAAATACTGGGAAGACTATGGTGGTACATTGCAAGTACTCTGACACTAGACCAGTAAAAGGAGACAGGGAAGTTTCCATGTGGAGTCTGCAGAAAGGGTGTTGATGAAAACTCGATATTCTGTCCCCACTGTCAGCATTGGATACACAAGAAATGCACTAGTATCAAAGGGAAACTGAAAGAAGACCCTAATTTCATCTGCAGGCAATGTTACAGTAACTCACCATCCCCTGTACAACCTACACAAGAGGTTACTGTCGCTGGAGAAACCTTTAAGGTGGTCCCTACTTTCTGTTACTTGGGTGACATGATTGGTCAGTCGGGGGGCTGCACAGATGCTGTAACAGCCAGGATCAAATCGGCTTGGAAGAGCTTCCACGAGCTCCTTCCCATACTTGCAGACCGAAGCATCCCTTTCATAAATCGCGGTCATGTTTTTAACTCCTGTGTCAGAAGCGTAATGCTTTATGGGTCTGAGACCTGGGCGGTGTCCACAGAAGACCTTAGAAGGCTAGACAGGTGTGACAACGCCATGATTAGATGGATATGTTCCAGTAGACTGGCTGATAGGGTGTCAAGTGATCAGCTTAGGTGTAGGTTAGGTGTAAGCAGCCTACGTGAGATCTTGCGCTACAACAGACTTCGCTGGTATGGGCACGTGCAAAGAATGGACCCGCAGAACTGGCCAAGGAAGGTCATGACAATGCCCGTAGAGGGACGAAACCCGCGGGGTCGTCCAAAAAAGAGATGGATAGACAGTATTAGGGAAGATGTCAAAAACTTGAAACTGCAGAAGGCCAACCCGCTAGACAGAAGCAGCTGGAGAGCAGCTATTAGACCCAAACGACACCCCACGACGTCCAACCCTTGCATGACGGGGAACAACGGACGCTAAGCCGAGCAGTGAGTGAGTGAGTGAATTGTCCCAAACATAGATTTCAATTGTCCCGAACTGAAGATGGACTGTCCCAGCCTGCTTTTCAGGAAATAAGTTGATGACAACAATAAGAAAACAACAACTGAATTTGTACAATTTGAAGTCCACTTTATTAGTATATGTAGGGAAATACATGATAATATCATGGGCATGGCACCGTCCCTGATATTTGGAATCCCTGATTGGTCAAATTTAAATGTTTGTCAGAGTATTATGGGCTGCCGGCGGCCCGCAGCAGGATGGATGGGTCGCGTTCCTAAATGACGTGGACGGTCTGAGAATTTTCCAATTGCCCTGAAATTGTCCCGAAACATAATTTGAATTGTCCCAAGTTGAAAATTTAGTGTCATTTGACACTGGGACAATGTTAATTTCGAGCCCTGCATGTTTTGTCTGTCTTCTTCCCACCACAGACTGTTGCTGAGCCATTGTTTCAGCCTGTGGTTTATCTGCCTGCCTGCTTACGTGAAGGCGTCTCACTCCAAGGCCCGCGCCCTGCGTACTGCCTACGACATGCTGGTCAAGATGCAGCATGCCTGCAGGAGAGACCACTTGGACGAGGTGAGAATTTATTTGTCCTAAGGCCACACCAATTTAATTTCTTGGTTAGCGGATTTTTCTAGAAAAAATGGAGCGGGGGGGGGGGGCGGAAAAAAATAAATAAATAAAAACAGGCCTAGGCATCCTATTATGGCCCAAAATGGTACCATAGGAGCCATGAAGTCAACACACCAGGCTGGTTCAAAATTTAAACAATGAATTTTGAACTTTTAATGATATCATTGCATTGAAAGATGGAATAACTGTAACAACTAGGATGAAAAGGACTGTTTTCAATTGTCCAGGGCAAAATATGAGCATTTTGTAGTTGATTCTAAATTTTGTTTTATTTGCAAATCAGAAAAAAATAAAGCGGGCGAATCCGTTAACCAAGAAATTAAATTGGTGTGGCCTAGATTAAGCTCATAAGCCCATACAATCCTTATGTCCTATACCACACATACAAACTTCATACTGAATTTCAAACTTCATAATAAGTTTCTAATTTCATACTGAGTTGTTGTGCTGTTCCTGTTGCTGTCCCCAGGTGTGCTACCGTGTGGTGATGCAGCTGTGTGGACAGTACAGCCAGCCTGTCCTGGCTGTCAAAGTGCTGATGGAGATGAAGCGCAACGGCATCACTCCAAACGCCATCACCTACGGACACTATAACAAGGTATGCTGGTATTTGGAGAAACTTGTGCTCCTTCGATACCATAAATCACTTTATATTCGAGGTAAGAAAATTCCGCGGTCTGGAAAAATGGATTTTTTTGCGGCAGGTGCAGAAGAAAGAAAGTCGACAAATTATTTGTTTGCGGTAACGATAATTCGTGGTACAGAAGTGACCGCAAAAACCACAAATATAAAAGTACCTTGAATATAAAGTAATTTACAGTATTGCCTTTTTAGGGCTTGAAATACTGGGTGTATGTACAGCCAAAATTGGAGCACTGGTGCACCTAGATATTTGTATATGGTCAGGTACCTAAAAATACTTTTGTACACTAGTACTGTAAATCACTTCATGTTCACGGTTCATGTTCAATTTTGTGGTCTGAGAAAAATAGACATGTTTACAGAACTATGCATTCGCGGCATCAAAAAGAAAGTTGGCAAATTATTTGTTCACTGTAATGATAAGTTCATCGTATGGATTTGTGATTGTGTAAACAACAAATATACCACGAAAAATTGTAATTTACAGTATGATGGATACCTTATCAAGATGTTTGAGGATTATAAACTTTTCATAATGACATATTAGTACATGTGTACTTCCATTCTCACAGGCTATTCTTGAGAGCCGCTGGCCCACGGGTAACAGAGACGGCTTCCTGCTGTGGACCAAGCTGCGTAACGTGATCCTGGCCATGGCACAGTTCCGGCGGGGGATCCGGCGTGCCGCGCTGCAGGCCTCGGACAGCAGTGACGCGGACGCGGTCAGCCGGACCAGCGTGGAGAGCTTCCCCGGTACGGATGGGACGTCCTCCCATACAGGTGCTGAGTTTGTCAGCGATGTCAAGCTGGACACACATGATAGAATAAGCATGGGTAGGTGTGCTGCAGCCGCTTGTATGCTTCAAACTATGGCTTCTTATCAATACTGTAAATCACAATTTTTCCGCTGTAATTTTACAATCACAGTTTTTGCAGTCACCTCTGTACTGCAAACTTATTATTACCAAATACTTGACCGACTTTCCTTTTCTGCACCTGCCGCCACCACGAAAACATATAGAAACTGATGTCCTTTTTTCTCAGACTGCGAACTTTTGCTACCGCAAACATAAAGTGATTTACAGTAATACAAGAGCAACTAGCATCATCATATGACAAATAGTTGAATGATACAGTTAATTCATCTTAGAGGCTTGAAGTTGTAATGTATAGAAAATAACTCTAGTCTTGTTTGTGCTATTAATGGTGATGCAAGCTTTTGCTAAGTTTGTCATAACTTGTTGCACTGCTTGCATACTGCTCTAAACATGTCATTGTGGGGTTTGTTGAGTGACTTACATATTACCGCATGCACGTGTATGTTCCTTTGTTACTTGCATGTTGCTTTTGGCTCTAGTGGAGCTATGTTTGAGCTCAACTGTACAGAAGTCTTGCCAACTTGTAAGGTTGGTTGAAGAAGCCTGAGACCTAAAGGTTTCCCTTTTATATATGGGCAGGGCTCTAGCCAGCTCAATTTTTTTCTGTCAAGATCGGATCCTTGGGGTACAGGGCATGCTCCCTCGGGATATTTTCAGCTTTAAGCCTTCAAAAATGAAATTTTCTGCATTTTGAGAGGCAAATCATGGGGTTGAGAGACATTGTTGGTGATCGTTTTGGATTGTTTCTATATTTTAATCCAAGATTTTTGTCAATTTTGTTTGTCAAGGTTGAAAGATTGGTTTGAAATTTTTCTGTCACATGCTGCAAAAGTTCCAGCAATTGATGGAAAAAGAGCACTGGCTAGAGCCCTGTACATGGGTTTCTGTCTATACACACAGAACATGCTAGACGAAAAAAATTGGGGCAACATAATGTCAAGTGAGACAGTCTAGTGTGCAAATCCTTGCAAACACGAGTGAATTCCTGATATTCCACGTGTCACCACAGGTGGCCAATCAGACCAAGGCTACAGCTCGATGACGAAGGAGGAGGTTCGTCGGGGAGACAGTAGCGGCGTGACGTCCCCGCTGACTGACCAGGACCTGAACTCCACCACCAGCAGTCAGTCCAGTGACCTGAACGCACCACAGGACAAGAGCAGGGGCAAGCAGGACAACAGTTCAGGTTGGTCAGGTCCACTCATTGGGCCAGTTATTTTCCCGCTATGTTACCCCAGCTTTAAGAACAGGACTTGAAATACCCACATGCAAAATGCTATTTGCAGATGATTTTCAAGAATTGCATGTAAAAATATTCTGGTCTTGCAATATTGCATATACTGGTAGTTGAAAATTAACAATTTTTCATATTTGCACAGTGAGAAAGTCTAGTGCAGTCAGGGATCTCTTGAATTTATAGAATCATGTTGTTGTTACATTACAAAATGCTACAAAGCTGAAAACAAGTTGCACGTACATGTAGCAATTTTGCATGTAACTGAAAAAAGGATTTTGAGCCCTGAGGAGGAAGGTCATGGTTGATTTGTAGATGCAACAGTGCCACTAATTTTTCATAAAAATGTGATTGTCCATGATCAAGATGTTCTTCTATGCTAAGTCTGACATTTCCATCAACTTAAAAAAAGACACTTTACAGATATATGCTGATACCTCTGTCCACCACAGATAATGAGGATGAGGATGATACAAACGGCGTGGATTCAGACGCCACCGTTCAGGAGCAGCCTAAGTTCGAGCCGGTGGACTACGACGGGCCTGAGCCGTTCCGTCCCCGCGTCAGCAGTATTGTCCGTAACTCTGGCAGTATGAGCAGCATCAGTACGCTGAGGGGAAGCACAAGTAAGTTATCATGTGTAGTCTGCTATCATCAGATTCTTTTATACTGGCATAGAAAGAAGTGAGGAGAGTTTTGTACTAAATTGTAACGAATTTTTATTTAGAAGGACAAACTTGTCAACTAAAGTACCATAATTGTTATGTAATTGTTGCCTAATGTTCTTAACATGATAGTACTAAGTGATTGGTTCCAACATGTTTTCTGTACAGGAACACCATGGTTCTGTATAGTCATAGGCATACAAGTGCACTGTACCTCAAATTTGTAGTTGAAAGATGCAAATGTAATGTTTCAGCTCTGAAGAACATTATATTGATAGCTTGAAAGTAGAACAGTTCCATTTTTTCCATGAATAGATGAAGGCCCTTTGTACCCTCTGTATTATATTCAGGGCTCGAAATACTGGGTGCATATTGAGGGTGCACCTAAAATCGGAGCTGTGTACCTAAATATTTTAGTGGGTGCACCAATACATCTAGATATTTCTGTAGCCAAAGGTACTATAGTAATTGTACTCTAGTTTGATATTCTCAACTTTCAAGTATCCAAATATAATGAAACCTGCATTAGTGTGTTATTTGCTTTAAGTTTTCAAGTTAGCCATAGAAAATAGGATTGTCCGATTCAGATTTGATAAAGAGAAGCAGTAGTAAGGCCACACCAATTTAATTTCTTGGTTAACGGATTCGCCGCTTCATTTTTTTCTGATTTGCAAATAAAAATAAAAATTCAGAATCAACTGCAAAATGCTCATATTTTGCCCTGAACAGTTGAAAACAGTCCTTTTCTTACTACTTGTTACATTCATTCCATCTTTCAATGCAGTAGTATCATTAAAAGTTCAAAATTCATTGTTTAAATTTTGAACCAGCCTGGTGTGTTGACTTCATGGCTCCTATCGTACCATTTTGGGCCATAATAGGATGCCTAGGCCTGTTTTTATTTTTTTTTCGCGCGCCCGCTCCATTATTTCTGTAGAAAAATCCATTAACCAAGAAATTAAATTGGTGTGGCCTAAGGTTCACTTTGTAATTAGGTTTTCTGGGCATTCTTCTTCATTTTATGTTGTGCACCCAAAATCTTTTCACAGTACCGAAATTTTTAGGTTAGGTGCACCAGTGCACCTATTCCCAAAAATGAATTTCGAGCCCTGATACTAAGATCCTCTGATGTGTTGACTGCTTCCCTCCCTATCAGTTTTGTGTGTTGTGTTTCTTTTCCTTCTACGGCAGACTTGCATCGCCATGGTCTTTGTTTCTTAAAAACCTTTCAACTGAAAACTTTGCTGCTTTGTTTTGTACAATTGGAAACATCAGGGCATAGTACATATATCTGAAAATTGAAAATTTTATGCAATTTGTACTGGCTGGAAACACATTGATCCTGCTCATAAGATTATCTTAATTTTTGATTTCTGTTTAAAGTAAAGTAGATTTCAGTGGTGGCTAAAACCCCTGTTAAATACATGTAATACAATGCAAAATGTGTACCAACAAAACTGTTCCACCACTTGATTGTACTAAAGACCTGGACAATGGTGATGGCATCATGTTGCAAAATATCTGATGCAACCATCTACTTACAGAACTGTCCTGTTCTGTTCTTTTTTCTTTCCTTGGAGTTGGGTATCAACTACGGAAGTAGTTTTGTATATAACAGTTCCATTTTCCCAACTCGATGCCCTAGTTGTTATACCTCTTATGTCTGTACTGTAGATTTCCTACAACAGAATTTCTACCACCATGTACTAGTACTTACCTGACTCACCAGAATCATCTACTACTTTGTACCAATCCATCCATTATTACCCACTTACCGTACTTACCCTTAATTTTCACATGAATGTTTTCTCCACATCTCTGCATGTTTTTCCTCACCAGGGAAGGATATTGAAGGCCATGGAAGGCCAAAAGTGAAAGTGAAACGCTTGATATCTCTGCCCGATGGCGTTGTACCTATCGGTGAGTCATACCAGCGTGACAGTTAACATGCTAAAACCGGTTAATCATTCACGCTCTCCAGTTTGCACCATAGCATGGCCGAACGCAGCACTTTCTCACCCGTCCAGTTATTGTCGTTATGGAAGGTGGTGTTTAATGCTGCATTAGTGCTCCATTGATGCTGGATGAATACTGCATTGATGCCGGTTCAGTGCTGCATTGATGCCGGTTCAGTGCTGCATTGATGCCGGTTCAGTGCTGCATTGATGCCGGTTCAGTGCTGCATTGATGCTGGTTCAGTGCTGCATTGATGCCGGTTCAGTGCTGCATTGATGCTGGTTCAGTGCTGCATTGATGCCGGTTCAGTGCTCCATTGATGCCGGTTCAGTGCTGCATTGATGAGTGCTGCATTGATGCCGGTTCAGTGCTGCATTGATGCTGGTTCAGTGCTGCATTGTTGCTGGTTCAGTGCTGCATTGATGCATGCTGGACTGCATTTGAGTGCTGCCCTATTGCATTGACCATTAATAGTCATTTATCATTCATTATCCAGAGACTCTAGCAATGTTTGATCTCCTTTGACAAGAGCTTGTCACACCAAAAAGATTACACCCCCCTCCCCCCGTGCTCTCAGACCACTAGTCTTAGCACAGAGATAGCTCCACATACAGTCTACAGGTGGAGCATAACTAATTACGATCAGGATAATAGAAAATATTCTACACTATCTCCACCTTCTGGTTCAAGGGTTTGCAAGAGAGGTAACTTTGATAGCCAGGTGACTAGGATGACCGTGAAATTACGGTTATGGCAGTCAGCACCGATTTCTGACTATATCAGCATCAATTGCAGACTATATCAGCATCAAAACTCAAAAGAATTAGGCCAACATTATACACCACTTTCGTAACACATAATTAGCAATGGAGAGGGCTTTGCAATCATTGTCAACTGTTGAAGACTAGCTGGCTTGTTTTGCAGTATAGTAGCTTGCACTTGTACCAAATCAGGTAGCAAATAATAACAAAGAACTTTCTTTTTTTACAACGTTCTTTTTGTGGATTTTCTCAAAATCATGCTTCAGAAGGTTTGCTATGATCCTAGCTTCAAAATATGTAATGCCTGGATTGCCACAAGGAAGGATACTGCTCAGTTTGTCAGACAGACTATCACATTTTATATTGTCCTCTTCATACCTTCCTTTCCATCAAGCTCAACTTACTATAACGTCACTAACTTCACCAGTCAACACGCTGTCTTTTGTTGTTTGCACTTTTGTGTATGTTCGCCTTGTGCATCAGGCCATGTTGATTTGATTATATGGATGATATCCTCTGGGAACCCCAAAACTGATGCGTGCATGCGAATAAAAAAAAAGTTTGGCAAAAAAAAAAGTTGCTTTCATTATGAAATCTGGTTTTGAAGGTTAAACAAATGACACAGAGTATGGTTTGGCAAATAATCTAGTCTTCAAATTCATTTCTTCACATTTTCGTGTTTTTCGTTTGATTTTGGCATTTTATGACATTGGTATCGTTTTCCAATGGTTTTTTTTTCAACTTACGGTGTATATTTGCTCATTTTGCAACTGTTTTGTATGATTCACAGCATGATTAAGATTTTTAATTTTTTGGAAACGGCTGAAAATTCATATAATGAAATCAACATGGCCTTAGTTTTCACAAGTAGTACTACTTGAGCCGCTTGGCTGTTATCTTAGGGGCCGTGTCCCCACAGCTCTGCTATTGAATGTCAGCTGCTATGCATGTTGTTGTTGCCTCTGTTTGTTTGCCTGTGGTTTGGTGCTGTGCTCTCCTCATTTTGTCCAGTTGCATGGTTTGTACAAGTTGTTGCACTGCTGAGAGCAGCACTGCAAGTGTAAGCATTCACACAAGGTAGAAAGAAACATACAGATCATTGTTTGGTACAAAAAATTGTTAATTAAATGTGTCATTATCCTATGTACGGAAAATACTGTAAATCGCTTTATATTCATGGTTACCGAAAAATGGACATGTTCATGGAACTATATGTTCACAGTGGCAGCAGATGCAGAACAAATTTGGCGAGTTATGATAACTTTGTGGTACAAAAGAGATCGCAAAAACAGCAAGTGTAAAGTACTATGAAAATCATCATGATTTACAGTACATAATCTATAGAATGAGAATGAATTATATATCAAAAGATGCTGTATTTTTGTAGTATGGACAGTTGTTTTTATTGTTCCTGACAGGTAGTGCAGCCGGACTTCTCATCACCAGTCAGACCTCCGTGGAGGAGCCCGTGTTCCACGAGCGTTCCTACAGCCTCTCCGCCGCCATCAGACCGGCGCGATCCACCAGAAAGAGACACAAGAGCGCCGGCGACCCGTCCAAGATGAAGCGCGCGGCCGGAGGCAGCGGGGGAAGCGGCGGCGGTGGTGTGGAGCGCCCTCGTTACCCGAGCGGCGACAGTAACGTCACGCTCACGGAGGTGCTGTCCCGACAGGGGAGTCACGAGAGCGAAATGGACGCGGAGTTGAAGATTGACCTGTTCAAAGGCGACGCCAGGCTGCTGTCTGGGTTGAGTCGAGACGACAGCGTCAACCAGGCCCGACAGAGAACTAAGGGCGCTTCTCGCCCGGCCAGCGTGGGCTGGTTCTCGGACGGCAGCCGCTCCCGCTCGAGCAGCGACGCCTCCGTCATGAAACACAGAAAGGCCGCGGGGGCAGCGACGAGGTTGAAAAGAAGCTCAGGCGACAGTGTGATGTCGAGGAAACAGTCGGAAGAGGAGGAGAAGAAGAAGAAAGAACTGGTCAGGAAAGACTCTTGGGAGAACCAGTGGGACCCGTTCTTGAACGAAGACCTGGATAAGGAAGAAACGGATGAAACAAAAGACGACGCAAAAGAGGAATCTGAAGAAGCCAAGTGCAATAGCATCGGAAGGNTTTTTTTTTTGCAAATCAGAAAAAAACGAAGAGGCGAATCCGAGAACCAACAAATTAAATTGGTGTGGCCTAATGCCTGGATTGACAAACTGACATTCCTTGTAAGTTGCCACAAGGAAGGATACTGCTCAGTTTGTCAGACAGACTATCACATTTTATATTGTCCTCTTCATACCTTCCTTTCCATCAAGCTCAACTTACTATAACGTCACTAACTTCACCAGTCAACACGCTGTCTTTTGTTGTTTGCACTTTTGTGTATGTTCGCCTTGTGCATCAGGCCATGTTGATTTGATTATATGGATGATATCCTCTGGGAACCCCAAACTAGATGCGTGCATGCGAATAAAAAAAAGTTTGGCAAAAAAAAAGTTGCTTTCATTATGAAATCTGGTTTTGAAGGTTAAACAAATGACACAGAGTATGGTTTGGCAAATAATCTAGTCTTCAAATTCACTTCTTCACATTTTCGTCTTTTTCGTTTGATTTTGGCATTCTACGACATTGGTATCGTTTTCCAATGGTTTTTTTTCAACCTACGGTGTATATTTGCTCATTTTGCAACTGTTTTGTATGATTCACAGCATGATTAAGATTTTTAATTTTTTGGAAACGGCTGAAAATTCATATAATGAAATCAACATGGCCTTAGTTTTCACAAGTAGTACTACTTGAGCCGCTTGGCTGTTATCTTAGGGGCCGTGTCCCCACAGCTCTGCTATTGAATGTCAGCTGCTATGCATGTTGTTGTTGCCTCTGTTTGTTTGCCTGTGGTTTGGTGCTGTGCTCTCCTCATTTTGTCCAGTTGCATGGTTTGTACAAGTTGTTGCACTGCTGAGAGCAGCACTGCAAGTGTAAGCATTCACACAAGGTAGAAAGAAACATACAGATCATTGTTTGGTACAAAAAATTGTTAATTAAATGTGTCATTATCCTATGTACGGAAAATACTGTAAATCGCTTTATATTCATGGTTACCGAAAAATGGACATGTTCATGGAACTATATGTTCACAGTGGCAGCAGATGCAGAACAAATTTGGCGAGTTATGATAACTTTGTGGTACAAAAGAGATCGCAAAAACAGCAAGTGTAAAGTACTATGAAAATCATCATGATTTACAGTACATAATCTATAGAATGAGAATGAATTATATATCAAAAGATGCTGTATTTTTGTAGTATGGACAGTTGTTTTTATTGTTCCTGACAGGTAGTGCAGCCGGACTTCTCATCACCAGTCAGACCTCCGTGGAGGAGCCCGTGTTCCACGAGCGCTCCTACAGCCTCTCCGCCGCCATCAGACCGGCGCGATCCACCAGAAAGCGACACAAGAGCGCCGGCGACCCGTCCAAGATGAAGCGCGCGGCCGGAGGCAGCGGGGGAAGCGGCAGCGGTGGTGTGGAGCGCCCTCGTTACCCGAGCGGCGACAGTAACGTCACGCTCACGGAGGTGCTGTCCCGACAGGGGAGTCACGAGAGCGAAATGGACGCGGAGTTGAAGATTGACCTGTTCAAAGGCGACGCCAGGCTGCTGTCTGGGTTGAGTCGAGACGACAGCGTCAACCAGGCCCGACAGAGAACTAAGGGCGCTTCTCGCCCGGCCAGCGTGGGCTGGTTCTCGGACGGCAGCCGCTCCCGCTCGAGCAGCGACGCCTCCGTCATGAAACACAGAAAGGCCGCGGGGGCAGCGACGAGGTTGAAAAGAAGCTCAGGCGACAGTGTGATGTCGAGGAAACAGTCGGAAGAGGAGGAGAAGAAGAAGAAGAAAGAACTGGTCAGGAAAGACTCTTGGGAGAACCAGTGGGACCCGTTCTTGAACGAAGACCTGGATAAGGAAGAAACGGATGAAACGAAAGACGACGCAAAAGAGGAATCTGAAGAAGCCAAGTGCAATAGCATCGGAAGGTCTAGGATAAGACGGCCCAGCCTCACAGAGGCGTCCTTCCATCCTTTACTGCCATTGGACGATGACATGGACTCCAAACAGGAGAAAATAGCAAAGTCAGTGCCAAGTGAACCGAAAGGTAAAAGCGATAGATCCCTGAGTCTGGCCTTAGAGTCGGACATGCCCAAGTTGTTTCAGAACTTTGACAGCACGGGCACCTCTCCCACGTCAGCTAACACTAGTCCTCCTCGAGACGTGGTCCGACACATGCACAAGTCCCCCAGCTGTCACGCCAAGCTCGGCTCGGCCGGCAGCCCGCTGGCCAACAAGTTGTCGGAGAGTCCAGACGAATCGGGACTAGTCATAGCGGTGGCCGCCTCCCTCCCCTCCAGAACACCTTCTCACAACAGACAGGGTTCTGGCTCCGGTTTCAGCTTCCTGAAGTCCGCCGCCGCCTCCATGTTCAGTAGTGGCGGTCGGATCTCCTCTCCTACGTCTTCTCCCAGCATGCCTCGCTCCATGAGCGAGGTGACCGGACTGAAGGACCGCGCCTCCCCGGCCCTCACGCCGGTCCACAGCCGCCAGGGCTCCGGCTCCAGCTCCAAACTGGACGTCTTCAAAGCCGCGGCCAGCGCCATGGCCAGTAAGCTGATGGGCAGCTCGCTGACCACCAGGACGGACAACATGCTAAGGGCGCCGGAACTGGACAGCCTGGTGACCTTCGACGGGGACGACTCGGAAGGGGAGAGGACGCCAAAGAGGAGCTCCAGGAACCTGGACTACCTGAGCAGGAGTGAGACACACCTGGTGGGGACACCACCAGACATGGCAGGTCAGTCAAGCTCTGTCTTATGTGTAACACTTAAGATTTTACAAAAGCCTAAACACTCATCAAATGTTTATTCCTATGTTTTTATAGGAATATGATGATGATACTGAATAATGTTTTTATGCATCATGGTAGAACAAGTTTTCAGTACGTTTTTAATGAATCAACAATTCAGCCCTCTGAGACCAATTTTGTCAATCTGACCCCTTCCCCACAACAAAGTGTTGCATAAAAAGTAACTAACAAAAACTATAAATATCAATACATGACATTTAAGTTAACAAACAACATAACAACAAATGATAACAATTAAGTAAATATCTGACAACATTAATTAAGTAACTGATAAATTTATTTGTTAATGAACAAACCATTGATTATCATTATTAAGTTAATAACAATCTCTCGTGTGCCTATTGTATATAGAAGAGCACAGTGATGTAATGACAGGTCCATTGTGCAATTTCTAATTCAAGTTGCAGACAGCTGATATATTTGTGCCCCATAATTATTCTTGACATATGACATATGCACTCATGTAGAAATGTGAATAAATGAAAAAAAAATTCAACAAAGGACCAAAGTTCACTCTGGCACTCCCCCCCTCCCCCCCACAGGGAGCCTCCCCATACCGGGCATGCTGAACCGTCGTGACTCGGTGGACAGCCACGGGTCGTCCCGCTACGCCAGCACACAGAGCATCTTCCACAACTACGCCATGGAGGTGCGCATGAGCAGCTGTATGAGGTGCTACAGCTGTAACGCCCTGCTGTACGACGAGGAAATCATGGCCGGCTGGACACCTGACGACTCCAACCTCAACACTGAGTGGGTATTAGAGTACATGTAGATAGCACAGCATGCAACCTTTTTTTGAACGGTAGGCCAGTGTGCTACTTGGATTTTAAGAATGCCCCAACCCCCCAAAATCATGCCCACTTGGCTTGCACCACTGTATCCGGCAGATGCTTTTTAATTTTAGGAATTAATAGCTATTACTAGTATCAGTTAACTAAAGGCTGTTAGGAATATTGTCAAAGGCGTATGTATGTAACATTGCTTAATTTGAGGAAAGTAGTAACTTATAGGTGGGGCAACCTAAAATTCTGATGGGCAACCTAATTTTTGCCGAGTGGGCAACCTGGTTCAAAAAAGTATTTTGTACACTGATAGTAGATCACTTGAAGCCAGGTAGGAAGATCTCTTCCATTACAGGACGCTTGTCTATTTACTGAATTGTCATTTCTGGCCTAAGTGGACAATTCAGGACTGTATAGTCATACATTACTGGGTGGTCTTCCATATGTTTGTCTATTGTATTATTGAAGGAGTTTACAGTAGGTACTGATACCACTTCCTCTGGTAGACTATTCCACCAAGTGGCCATCCTGTTTGTGAAGAAGTGTGCTGTTTGTTCTCTTTTAAGGACTTTTTCATTATCCTCAGGTTGTGTCCTCTTGTTCTCGATTCAGTTTTTAGTTGAAATGGATTAGAAGTATCAGACATCTTGCAGTGCCCATCTTCAGCCCTTGGGCCACACAGTTGTGCAAGCACTACACCAGGTACTATGTATTCTGAATGTTCTCTCTACTGTTTTGTTTCAGATGCCAGCATTGCAAGTCTCTCCTTGTCCCCTTCCTTAATGTTGTAGTGACTGACCTGAGAGGAGGAAGCAGGTGAGTGGGGATAGGTGGAAGGGAGGGGGGGGGTGCTTAGTCTGTGTAACACTAACTCTGGCTAATCTGGGCCGTAATGGGCCCATTCTTTGTTACTCCGTGAAGGAGGTCAGGACCTCCGGACGGAGTGTTGTAATCGGCTGATTTTTCATGTTCGCAGTCAAAACACTGGGTTCTCTTTGTGTAATCGGCACGCAATTTTATACGCCGTCTGCGGGCATGCCCGTGTTGATGCACGAATGTGTATTTTTGCCGTTGCTGCTTTCGCGGTCAATGTAATATCGCAGACGCACCCCTACAATTACGAGGCGAATTGGAATGGTCCAGAAAAACGCGTTGTTTGGAATAGCAGTGGGGTTCAAAAAAGTTCATGCAGATACGGGGTGGTTTTTATAAGTGGTTCCAGATGTTTTTGCCCATGGTTAAGAGATGCCAAGTTTTTTGGAAGATGTTCGCAGCCAAAACGCATTCTTCCGTACGTCGCATTTCTGTGTAATTTCGCATGTGGTGTTGCATTATGTCCGGGATGATGCACGTCTTTTTATTTTTACCGTAGCTGTTTTGATATTGGAGTAAATGCTTATTTTCGAAACATCCCCATTTCTTTGAAATGGTTTCGTCCGTTTATGCAACTGTTACTGCGCTAATGACGACCAGTCGCGCTGTCCTGATACACCGCGAATGTGCGAGTGTTCCCTGTAGACAGTCCCGGGAGTCATTTTTTTGCACATTCCAGGAGCCAAACCAAAATACGTTCATGAACCGAGTCCAAAAAACCGAAACGTGAAAATCGGATGATCGGACCTGATGTACATTTCTCTTTCTATAGATTGTACACACAATACACACATCTTTAGATAATCTGGCCATGGCAGGTTAAAAAAAAAGTAACCCTGAATCATACTAGATTAGCGTAAATGCATGTTAATGCGTTCAAAACAAGAAAAAAATTGTTTCCGGGTATTAATCTCTTGAATCACGGCGCTGAATATTGACGCAAAATATTTCGGGCATCGCGCGCCCTTCCCGCGTCACGTGTAGGCATCTCGCATCTCTGATTGGTTGTTGCGTCTTAAGATGACTGAGCCGACGCGCGTTTAAACAATTTTTCTTTGTTCGATTTATCACACTTCACAGAGAATTGTCGCCAATGGCTACTTCTTTTTGTTGCAATATATAATACTTCACGGAGAATTGTCACCTATGGCTTCTTGTTTATTTGTTTATTTTGTTCATTAAAATTTTCCACATGGCAAGTGGAAGGGGAACAGGTGAAGACAACTCTACCAGCATGCACCCCAAATGTACATCAGTCAAAGACCGAGTCAATATTGATAAATAATATGCAAAGTGAGACAGTAAAGCAAACCTATTGTATAAATTTCCAGTCAGTAAGGCCTTACAATTAAACTTGAAGCACATCTACAAGCTGATGTCCATGTGCATTGATTGTTGGTGGCAGAATATTAAGACCGCGAACTTTTGCTATTGCAAACATTAAGTAATTTGCAGTATTTGCCCACTATACATGTATAGGGCCCTAATGGGAACCGTAAAAAGGTCTGTGTTCTGCAAAAACCAGTAGATTTGCTTCCATATATTAACTCTCTGTTGTTCTCCTCACAGGCAATTTCTAACCCCCAGCCAATCAATAGAGAGCTTCCACAGTATCCAATCAGCTCCCCCGATCCATCCCATGGCGACGGTGAGCCAGACCAGCCTGACGAGGACGGGGTCGGACCTGAGCGCTGACAGCCTGGTGCAGGTGGGGGAGGCGGAGGTGGATGGAACAGCCATGAGCCACAGCTACAGCCCTGCCAGGTGTGGACAACTGTCAATCATCCTTACCAGTGGTCGAAATACTTTTTTTCAGTGTTCTGCAATATTGCAGAAGAGTCAAAATTTTGTTCTGCAATTTGGAAATACTTTCTGCAAATACACAAGCCTCTATACTACAATCTTGCAAGTTTATAAGCATCAACTATTGATTGATATGCAAATTAGTGAAGAAGAAAAAATTTTTGGAAGTCCAAAAGGAAACAAAAGATAGACAAGCCAAGACAAGGTTGATGTAAATTAATGAAGAAGCTCCTGTTGTTTCAGAACAGGAGCTTAAGTGTTGTCTGTCCTCGGGGCTGGGAGCCCCAAATCCCAAGTGGCAATTTTTCCTCCTGCAAAATTGCAGATTGTATAAATTGTTCTTCTGCAATCTTGAAAATCTATCTGCAGATTGCAGACTGTAGACAGGTATTTTGAACACTGCTTACAGTCAGACATTTTCTCCCTGCATAGAGAACTTTAACTTATTTAAAGCAGGGACCCCCATTTATTACATGTACCTCAAATCAATGTAGCATCACAGACTGACACTATGGAATAAACTGACCACTGAAAAAAGACACTGCAATACAGTAACAGAATTCAAAAGTAGACTGGCAGGCACAACTAAAAGGGATTAATTTTAGCTACACAATGTACCTACATGTATTAGCTATCGGGACAAGTACTTAATGTATATTTTGTTGATGTCAGCGGTCAGCATTCCCAGGAACTCCTTAAAAACAGGGTTTTGCCTAGAGAGTGTGTGTCCTGGTAAGGCCATGTTGATTTGATTATATGGATGACATCCTCTGGGAACCCCAAAACTGATGCGAGCGTGCGAATAAAAAAAAAGTTTTGAAAAAAAAAAAAAGTTGCTTTCATTATGAAATCTACGTGGTCATGAAGATCGAACAAATGACACAGGGTATGGTATGGCGAATAATCTACTCTTCAAATTCATTTCTTTACATTTTCGTCTTTTTCGTTTGGTTTTGACATTCTACAACATTGTTATTGTTTTCCAATACTTTTTGTGCAACTTACAGTATATATTTGCTCATTTTGCAACTGTTTTGTACGATTTACAGCATGGTTGAAAACTTTTTTTTTTTTGGAAACGGCCGAAAATTGATGCGCGCGCGGATGTCATCCATATAATCAAATCAACATGGCCTAAAATAAATACATGAAAATGAATGAAATCTAGCGTCAGTCTTTATGTCCTAGGGCAGAATTTTGCTGCTTGGAATGATTCCACCATTCCATCCTACTTTCAGCAATTAACACAGGTTAGAAGTCTCACAGATTCCTCAGCTTACAAGTACATATCACAAGAGAACCTGCCCATTACCCTAACAGTGGAGAATGTATTGAGAAATTCAACCGTGTCACCTTCAACCCCCAACAGGCCCCACATCAAGCTGAAACACTCCCTGTCTGTGGAACACCCCCACACCAACTCTGCGCCCCAGCCCATCCACATCCCCGCGGACCGGCGCCGCTGCACCAGCGAGTGTGTCCCAGCGCGCAGGGAGTCGCTGGGATCGTCCCTCAAGACCGGACCGCTCCTGAGTGTGGAGGAAGAACAGGACAAGAGTCTTCCCTCCAGCTTCAAGGACCAACAGGTAAGCCTGCGCAGTTGATTATGTATTACATAACAGATTCTTTAAGACATTACCAAAAAGACCTTAGTCTGATGAAATTCAGAAACATACAATGATACATACAGTACAGAAAATAGTTATGAAACATAGAGGAAATAGGCCCTGAAGATAATGAAATTGCATGTGCTAAACCAAACATTTTGTACATCCACACACACAGGTGCACACACACATGCAACTTGTTCATCTTGTTGCACACTCAGTTTTAGTAAGTAGCTTGATTAGAATCTTGAGTTCTCTGGTAGTTTCAATGTAGATGTAAGTACATGAACTTAAGTTCTCTATAAAATATAACCTTTTTGATAAGTAAAAGCTTGCCATGTATGTACAATAGGTAACCGATTCTAACAGAACTTGGACACGCACAGGCTAAAACCTCCTATAACTTTAACTTTAACTTACGACTCAGTCTGGTATCCAGGATATGTCAGAATTACTTGTCAGTGACTTTGTATGATGTGTTTACAAAACTCTTAGAGCATAATGTACTAATGCTCTCTCTTGACTACTATACTGATGCACTCCTATGTTAGAAGCCACCTCACAGTTCCACTGCCACAAGGGATTGTGGGAAAGGTCAACAGAAGTAACAGCATGTAAAAGTACATACATGTATCCTATAGAAACATTGCAAACATTTTTAGTGGCAAAGAATCGTTTACATTAACTTTCACCTTAGACCACAATGTATAATGGCAGCAAATGTGCACTCGGAACTGTGAGATGGCTTATTATCATTCACAGAATATTTTCTTCTCAGCACTCTTGGCATCTTCAGTCCCTTCATCATTAATCTACTGACTAATACCTTCCTTTCATCTATGCCTATATCTATGCACAGCTTATGTGTCTGAGCAGAAAGCCCTCTCTCACAAAGCCTGTTCCAGCATGTTGTGCTACTGATGAAAGCTAACAAGAGAAAACTTCCTTGTGAAACATGGTACACTTAATAGCTAAATGAGATGTGATACATAAACAGTTCTTGTATGATTTTATCAGTGGTTGTGGGTATACATAACTGCATCATGGTGTGACCATATACAAGAACTACCGGTACAATGTATGTGTACATGACAGCATACTGTTCATACGTAGTAGTAAAGACCAACAGGCTTAGATATTGTTCAGATTATGTATTTGGCCAGCATTTAAGCCCTATAAGTTTATGTGGGTTACTACATGTACTTCTAACTGGAATCTGGGAACACATCTTGTGTTAGATCAATGGCTATTATGACACAATTATATGAAAATCATAGTCACTTCACTGCACATGGTGTCACTCAACATGCTGTACTTGCATGGCTACTTCAAACTGCTTTCTGTGCTTGTGCCCTTCAGTCTGCCATTGCTGAAGTCTTGTTTGTGGCGTCAATGTCCTTATTGTTAGGCTAGAAATGTACATGTAGAGATCGAAAGGTCATGGGTTTGAATCCTTGCATTCTTGGCTAAAGATTCTGTCCTTGGGTAAACGGGTAACCGGGTATAAGTGGATACCTGACTTCAGTTGGGGAGGTAAAAGGCAGTGGAAGGAGAGGTTTGGGCTCTGCTTTCCAATACAATGCCCAAGACTGATACACACTGGCCCTTGAGCCTTTCAAATGGCTATGGGACATTTTGCCTTTTACTTTGTAGGTATCTGCATGGAAACAGCCATGTGTGTGTAGTCTTTGTGTGTAAGTCTTGTGTTCCCATGTAGAAAGTTGTGTGTTGTACGTTACAGGAACAGAAGGACAGTACGGTACAGGATCCCAAGCCAGATACTTCCACCTCACAGGTAACTCTCCTGGCCACATCCATGCATGCTTCCCAATCATCAGTACTCACAATCACTGCTCTGCAATATCACCAGCCGATACTAACAAATCTTCTAGATATTCTAGCCATTGATCATTATTTGTGTACGTATAATTTTGCACAGGTGCATAGAGTGGTATGTGTACATAGACTATTGACTAATCATGAGAAATCATTGATATATGATATAATGTTGATTGTGCAATGGATTATGACTGTCTGGTATATGTGTATAGTCTTAGGCTACCAGTATTGATTGTTCTCTTCCGATCAGAAAATAATTCTGGACTGTCAAATGGAAGAATGTTTTACTATGCTAGACATGTGCCTTTTGTTTATGTCCTTTCTTGAGCAAGTTCATAGAAATGAATAATATCTTTAACCAGGATAACTATAGGAGTAACTATAAGAGAAACTACGGTATCTCTAACAGTGAACCAAAATGTGTTGTGTATCCCACATGTGACGTTGCATAATTATGAAGACTCCATTCAGAAAAGGGTGCTCCATTTTGTATGAAGCAGAGTTAAAAAATAATTAGATCACTGTCAGCTCTCAAACAGAGTATGTGCAATCAATGTCATTCGTACGACTGTAACTGCAAATATTACTTCAAATTTTAAAGCATGTGAAGCTGAGCGTAAGGGGAGGTGTGGTCGCCAATCCGCGGGTGGTGGAGATTCGCAAAGAGTGCCTCGGGTCCTTCAAGTACCGCCCGCAGCAACTCCCCGAGGCCGTCTGCTACCTGGGCATGGGCGACGACGGGGAATCCGAAGCCAAGAAAAAACCCATCTGGTTGGGGAGGACTAAAGTCACACCGCTGGAGAACAAGCTGAACAGGCCCAAGTCTAAAAGTGTGGAAGCCCTGCTCGAAGACTCCGATCCGAAGGTCACCATTACGAGAAGCGCAAGTCTAGAAGGAATAAGGTCTGCAGTGGAGAATTCTGCTCAATCTGATGGTGTTGGAGATACCGCGTTGACCAATCGCCTGAGTAGAAGCGTTGGGAGCGGACTGGATGAAACCGGTTCCGAGTCGCCGTCGTCGTCATCAGCGGCGCCGCAACGAGTCGTGACGGGACTGGACGAGACGACGGGGCAGGTGGATAGCATGGACACGGTTTGTACACGTCCCACAGAACCATTTACACCTGTTTTTAAACGCAGCTGGGATGGCAAGGATCAGGCTTAGGTGATTTTTGTGCTGTGCTAGGTGTCACAATGATTCTTCCTCAGACAACATTTCAATTCTCACAGTGAAAAAACACTACATCAAAATCAATTGACAATTCAATCATACAAACTGGAGCATTGATAGTGATTCCACTCAATATGTTAAATCAATCATGCATTATTGTCCACAGTGTGTCAAAAGGCTCTTGATCGTGAAGGAAGTTGAAGTCGAGTATCTCGTCCGTGATTGGTGTGTGTGCACAACATGATTATTGTCAGAGCCAATCAGGCGTGTGGTGTTGTTGACCACTTTTTAAAAAATCATTGCAGCAATGTTCCAGTTAATTGTAAGGAGACCGTCTAGTTCTTTTTTTTGTTGTTTTGATGTACAACAAATCACTGGTTCATGTATATTAATTAGCCTAGATGGACAATGCATTTGATGTCCAATGCTGATGATATACAAGCACACAGTACTAGGCATTTTGCAAAAATAGTTTGCATTATTGAGGATTGTAGTCAACATTAACAATATTCTTAACCTTCTCCCTGTGTCCCTACACACCAAACATGTATTGTTTGCAGAAGTCTCTAGGGAGAAGGTTAATTATACATGTATATTGAGATATTATAGTTTGGAGCTGGATTTTATAAAAAGCAGTGTCCACCCGATGTATCATCAACAAATCAAAAGACTAAATCAGATTTAGCAAGTTCGCTCTGCCACCAGAGATTTTTCCAAAACCAATCTATTGATTCTTTAGAATTCCTAATGCATGTACAATGTACATGTAGTTCCAATGTTTCATCTTGTAGAGTTCTGTGCAATTGTTATTGCGGTATCAATCATTTACCCTATCTAGGGAATTTCAATATGGTGCATAAGTCACTGTGTGAAGGTCATATATCTACCTAGCATGACTTTTGGTTGCTACTTCTGCAGACAAATCAGTACCTGTACCTGTTTTTTTTTAAATACATGACAGGTAGAAATTATAATTAATAGATCTAAGCTTTTGATTCCACAGTTGGGGCCTGTGTGGTGATATTCCAGTCTCCTTGCTTCACCAGCAAGACTGAATTTTGAAAGCTTTTGATTCCTTTAGCTAACTCCTTTGATTTTTCTTATGGTCTAGGTTCGTCGTCTGGATTTCTAGATCACAGATGCAGCGTCTTCAATGCCGTGTAAAGAGAATGCTGGCAGAAAGTTTTAATCCTGCTGTCAGGAATTCTCTTTACACAGCATTTCCGAGGCATTCCCGCTGACGCCAGTACCGCTGTTGCAAAAATCTGTGTCTAAAGTGGGCCTAAGCCTCTTGGTTGTGTAAAAAGAATCTCTTTATGCAGTGACTCTCTAACCTGATGAAACATATTCACAGAGCATGATTTGTTGCCATCTCCTGCAGGAGTTCCTGGCGGTCGCGTCGCAGCGCCCGCAGCCTGACCCCATCACGGTGCCGTACCTGAGCCCGCTGGTGCTGCGGAAGGAGGTGGAGAACGTGCTGGAGAGCGAGGGCGACGGCTCGCTCACCCGCGCCGACTTCGTGGACCAGCACCCCATCATCTACTGGAACCTGGTCTGGTACTTCCGCCGGCTGGACGTGCCCAGTAACCTCATCGGGCTGGTGCTGTCTGCTGAGATCACCACCAAGGCTGCAGAGGTATGGCCCTTCTCACAGATTGTCCAAAATTGATAAATAGAAAGTAGAAAGGTAACATTTGCAAAGCAAATGCATAATGTTGTACCCTCACAAATGGTCTGCTCAGATAATTCTTACTCATATTCATATATATGGTGACAGGAGTCTAAATCCCTCATGCTATTAAGTTGCAACATGACAAAACCCAACACTAGTTACCATGGTGACATACATCTGGTTCAGGTCATTGACCTTCTGTTTTTGGAGAGGAGGAAGCAGAGCAAAAACAACATAATAAAGATATACACTACAGTGAATGTAAAACATATGCCTGTTTTTTCTCCATTGCTTTCTCCTGTACAGATCCCCAAGCAGTGGCTGTCAGCGGACAGTAAGCACGTGTGTGTGAAGGTTCTCTGGGACAACATCAACCTACACGAAGAGCCAGGCCAGCCTCTGTACCTCATGTGGAATGCACATGGTACTAATATGAACTCTTTTACTATCAATGCTGAGGTCACATTTTCAAACAGACAGCTCTCAGGAACAAAAGTTACAATATGAAAAAGAAGAAAACACAAATACATTTTAGAAACTGACCATGAGTACTATTTGTGTTATAATCTTGATCTGAATTGTTAATTTTTTGTTGATGCTAACAACCTGTGACTGGGCCATGGTTTGGCAAGAAAGTTATTTTTGCAATGCAGTGTACATGGGTTTGTGGAAAGCATAGCTCAAGAAGCTGTGGATAGAACTTTATGATATTTGGTATGTGGGTAGGTGACGGCAAAATTTGATCAAAATTGTGCATCACCTTGTGGCTTTCTACGGTAGTGCAGCATAACATTTGTTACTGTAGTATTGTTTGTTCTAGACTTGCTATGGTCAGATACCTCTTAGGCTTGAGAAGAGGTGGTGTAGGTTTGGGCCCTCTAGCAGCATTATTTAGAACTGCAGGGACCAATTTTGTCTCATGCTTTGAAAGAGAGTAACTCAAGAATGGATTGATAGATCATGAGTGGTGATTTTTGTTAGGTAAATTGACATAACTGGATGCTAAATTATGCAAATCAAGTCTATAATTTTTGTCACCATTCTTATCTTAACATAATCTTCAGTAGGTGCAGCAAGAGTTATTTTCAAGATAATTTACATGTTCTCATATGTAAGTCCTTTCTTTTTCTAATGGATTGTTTTGGTCCACAGCTCAAAAGTCATCCTTGGCACATGCCCTGATCACAGAGGAGAAGCTGTCGTCCAAGCGGTAAGTTATCAAACATAACTATTAACACACACACACACACACACACTCAGTACATTGTTCTGTGAAACATATACTGCACAAACTTGCATTAGGCCACAGCAAGTAATTTTTATGGATGACATCCGCGCGCGCATTAATTTTCGCCTGATTTTGGAAAAAAAAAAGAAGAAATTTTCTTGCCTTCTGACAGTGGTCACCATGCCGAAAATAGGCCAAGATGTCTGTTGCCATGCCTGAAGGTGGATGGCAGATAGTTATAAAGAGAGGAGACGAGACAAGGCTCTGATTTTATGTTTTGTTTCTTACTTTGATGCAGTGATATGTGATGCTGGCTGTGTATATGTGATGTTCCCATTGAATCAAAACCATTTGTACAATGATTGAGTCAAAATTTCAAAATGTAAGAACCTTGTTTTTTTCGGCCCGCCTTGTTTTTTTTTGCCCGCTCGCATTAGATTTGGAATCTGTGGAGGATGTCATCCATAAAATTTACTTTCTGTGGCCTTACAATTACATTGTATGTTCAGCATGAGGTACAATTTGCCATGTTGGTAATTATATACTAGCACTACATGTACTGTGACATTTCAGGTATTTATTGATTCTTTCATGTGCAATTGTATTTGATGGCAGTTAATGTGCTTTGAATGAACTTGTGTACTTTTGTCATGTTTGTATAGCGTTGCACGTTTGCAACAGGCAAATCACTGACGAGGAAAAATTGATAAGGAACACTAAATTGTAAAATATTTGTGTTTTTATATTCACAGCTTTTGTAATCGTAGATCATTTCACAGTAGAAAAATTTGGTTGTCAATGGTGTTGTTCTAACGTCTAATGGTGTCAAGTTAACCATTTATTTCATTTTGTTTATTAGTTTGGCTGTTTAGCACACACAGCCAAGGCAGCACAAGTAGACTGTGGGAAATACAAATTTATTGTGGCAAAAAAAAAAATTTATGACAATTAATTATGTACCATGCAATTATGTATTATGTACAATGTATCTGATAATTTTGGGATCGAATGTGTCTGTGCACTTAAGCGAGGGGAATTGATGTGACATTATATTGAACCGAAAATCATTGATATACGATGTTAAGACCAGGTTCACTTTGCACTGATTAGAAAAAAAAATACAAAAGGCTTGCCCTGCTGACAAGACAAGACAAAGCATTACAATAACATGATATGAGCAGCTTAACAGTTGATAACATTATTCTATGCAGATAAAGACATTGTTAACTATTTACCTGTTTGATACCAGGTTCATGCAGTCCATAGTGACGAGTATCCAGAGTAATGACCTGCTGACTCCTATGAAGTACATGCTGCAGGAGTACCACAAACACAAGGCCACACAGGGGAGACACAGGTCAGGAAACATCCTGTAGTCCTGTAATAATTCATGGTTTACTGGTCAAACATTACCCATGCAATCGCAGCCTTTTATAGTGCTGAATTGATGCAGGGTTTACAATCACTTTACAATCACGTAGGAATCAACCAATAATCACAAACAATCACATATACATGTACTTAGAACATATTAGCTCCACACACTTTTTGTTGAACTGTTGCAAGGGTGCCACAAAGTGATCTCAATACGACTTTCCCCAACCGAACCCATTCACACCTGGGTGGAGTGAGGAAAGTCGTGTAAAGTGCCTTTCCCAACGCCTTTTGCAGCTCAGGGTCAAACCTGGGTCTCACCATTTCATAGTCGAATGCTCTACCTCTAAGCCACCCGACGCCACTGTACACTAGTGTACACTAGGGCTCTGCACCATTAGGCCATGTTGATTTGATAATATGGATGACATTCGTGCATGCATGAATTTTTATCTGTTTCCAAAATAGGTTTTTGACCATACAAAGCAGCTGCAAATTGAGCAAATGTATGAAATGAATTGAAAAACTAGAAAGGCCAATATTTGCTTTGGAGCAAATACAGTGATGGGTTCACCACATTTTACGACATGGCAGGGAAAGAATGAGAAACACAAGGGAAAACAATGATTTACATTGATATAACTATAATATGAAGTAACATACGACTAAAACAACAGTTGGATAGCTATTCCCTACTTTATTGGTTAGGATTTTTAATTGCATAATGCAAACTGTTGATTTTCAAAATAAAAATAACGTTCATGCCCTGCATTCCAATGCTGGAGCAGGAAAGCTTGAAATACCTACCAAAACACTTGAATACAGACATACTGTCAGTATGGAAATGCTCTGTGCAGGTGTTAATCAAGTTAAATCCCAACAGCCAATCAGCAAGAAGTATAGAGGAAAGCTGCATGCCTATTGGTTGATGCCCTGCATTCCATTGTGATGACTCATACCCAAACGTGGTAAACATGGCACACTAACACAGTAATACATTTGCTATAACACAGCCAAAAAACTCAAATAAAACCATTCTAAAAGCCTGTATCACAAAAATTTAAAAAACGCCTAAGGGTATTTGCCCACTGTACCTCCATACCAAATTTCAGGACCTTAGGCCCTAAAATGAAGAAGCTGAATCCATTTAAAAAATGGCAGGAGAAGAAGGAGGAGGAGGAGGAGGAGGAGAAGAAGAAACACCAGAAAAAGCAATATGGTTTCACCACACCCACTTCGTGGTGTGGTGAACCCATAAAAAAATACTGGAAAACAATACTAATGCCATAGAATGCCAAAATCAATTCCAAAAAGGAGAAAATGTGAGGAAATGAAAATGAAGAGTCTATTACTAGTATTTGCCATACCATACTCTGTGTGTTCAGCCATCTTGTTGCATGTGTGATTGAAGACAGATCTTGCATGCCTTACAACATTATACTGATGGTAAAGTTGTCTTTGAACTCACTCCTAGTTTTCATGTTTCATCAATATTCTACAGGAGTATCTACAGAGAGATACTATATCTGTCCTTAGTATCTCTGGGAAGGGACAACATTGATCATGGTAAGCTTGTTTATTTTATAGTCAAATTTTCAGCACTGTTAGTTGTATGGTAAAAGTTCGCTACTGAGAATTTTATTTTTTTCTTCTTTTCTTTTTCGAAAAACGGTTGCCTATCAAAATGACCAAATTACATTTTTGTTACTTTCCACTCCATGCATGTGGTATGTGCAGGTAGGATGACAGCACCATGTGAGTTTTGAAATGCACCTTACCTCCTACCATTCTTTACCTTACTTCCTAACTTAAAGAAATAAAGTCTCTGTTGTCACATATGCCAAGCTGCCTGCTATTGTTGTTTGAGCTTATTTAACTGCACAAGTTATGAAAATTAATAGCAAAGAGCAAGCTTACATTTAGATGTACACATTTTATAAGAGGAAGTTTGGATTTAGTTTAGTTCTACCTCGTGTTTTGAAAGTCTACCACAGACTTTTTACAGATCCCATTGCATGCTGCGAGATGCTCAGTACTATGGCTAGAACATTGCAAACAACATCCTTACTTTGACCACACGTATGGTTTGCATGTCTGCCGTGTCTGATCCAGTGTATGAAAAGTATATTTGCCCCCTTCATTTCCCATAGTGCCCTGTATCTCCCAGCATGCAATTGGATCTGGAAAGGTCTATGTCAGCCTTTGTAAAAAACAAAATGGCTACATTTCACCTTTGACCAAGCGCAAACCACAAGTGTTCCGTACGAAACCATTCGTTATAGATCTCGGTCAAACATGCCTTCCTTTTTCTCACCCTGCACAGACGCTTTTGACCGCGAGTACAAGCTGGCATTCAGCCGCCTGTCGGAGGACCTGCAGGCCATGACACAAGAAGACGACAAACCGCCCAGCGCACGAACTCTGTGGTGTCGGCGCATCTTTAGCTCTCTCTACCTGTAGCTCAAGCTCCGCTTCATGATAACTTCTTCTACTTGTGTATAATCTTTACTACTTTTTATTTGCTGCTGGGGTTCAAAGTTTACTACCGATAAGATTTATCAATAATTATCACCCGACTAGTTTACTTCTGCAAAGTGTTCTGTAAGAAAGGAACGTGTATATAGCTGTGAAAAAAAAATGATACAGTACATTTAAAGTGTCTTTGTTTGCAGTCCACGTTATATAGATACCTGGTCTTGCAAGTGAGTATAAGATTTTTGCTCTAGATGGCTCTACATGTATATTATGATGTTACCAATGATAGGAGCTATGGTTTTTCTGCATTTGTACAAGCAAACTTAAGGGGAATAGTTTAAGGAGTAAGGGACGCTCAGCACTGTGCAAGTAGATTTGTGGAACTCTGGTAGAAAGCAATGAACATTTAACAAAAGTAGAGGTACAACACACAAAGAAGTTTGTGGTCCTGTAATGCAAAGTGTTAGTTTATTGCATGTGGTTAGTTGGTACATATATTACAATTTATAACCTTAGAAAGTTTCTTAACTTCTCATAGCCCACAAAGTGCAGATTTTGTGGGATTTGAGCTTCTCGTTTTGTTGAGCCTAAGGTAGGAAATTGGCACCATGGACAAGTAGCCTTCATTTGTGTGATAGCAAGAAACTTACAGATACAATATTTCTACTCAAGGCTGGCAAAACTCCAGCTGCGTATTGGAAAGGTTAGATTAGCCTCTACCAGGCACCGCGGATCACTGGAAAAATAGTAGAAATTGGCCGAAATAAAGGAATAATGTACCAGGGGAGGTAGCTGGCCAGAGAAGATCCCATTCGCGACCCGTGGGGTTGGATCTTCTCAGGCCGGCTACCTCCCCTTTATTTTGGCCAATTTCTACTATTTTTCCAGCGATCCGTTGTGCCTGGTAGAGGCTAAGGTTAGATGGCATCATGACCTGATGTTGTGTCATTTACCTAGTAGTTACGCTAGCGGACACAAGATCAAGTGGTCATGGGTTTGATTCCTGGATGTACTTGGCCAGACGTTGTCACTCCCTCAAACTCCCTCAAAATGGCAGTACCTAAAGTCCATGTCCAATAATACCACACAGTGGTGGATTTTTAACAACCCATTTCCCCATAGTCTCAGATGGCTATGGGACTATCATCATCTTTTTATCTGTGAACATGGTCTCCATACCACAAAAAAAAAAAAAGCATGAAAAATACTGATTATTCAGACATCATTTGACATTTCTTCAAAGAACAAATTAGTATATCATAATCAAAT